GTGGCAGCGTAGCGAAAGCTACCACGAAATGAGGATGCCCTATGTTTTGTGTGCATTAATCGACTTGCAACCCGGGTGTTGCGTTCAGAAAAAAGAAGTTTCTCATATAAATACTGTGGCTCTCGATTACGAATGACTTTATACAGCATAAAACTATAATGCACGAATCTACGAGATTCCATATTTAATAAATTTCCACGATTTAGAAAAGGGGTCACATGTGCTTTTCGGGGTATTTTAAAACAAAACCTAGCGCATGCATTTTGCACCCGCTGTATAAGTAGCTTTGTACGGGCAAGCAAACTTCCGCCGATGACTACATCAGCATAATTTAACTTCGATAGTATTAATGACTCACATAGTTGCACTCTTGTATTTTCATTAATAAAGTCACGAATTGTATACAAAATCTTTACACTGGTACACTACCGACTACGCCATTCGGGTCGATATCTGTGCTATGTGTTTTAATAAAGTACATACCTATTAACATATAGAACAAACGTTTTTACCGTATTTAATAAATATATGATGGAAGTTAAGAAACAGAGTAGACAGTTCTACATAGTAAAAGAATAAAGTGGAAACAACCATATTATTCTTTCCTCTAGTCCAGTTCGATAGCTCAAAAATGATTAAATCTTATTATTCATAGATACTAACACCCAGAAGAAAACAGATTTTCTTTGGATTAATAAAGGAATTGGAAAAACTTATGAGTGAGACAATCTTTTCCTTTTTTCGATCTGTTATCATCTTGAAGGAGCTAACGTATAAAAGCGACCGGACCAAAGAAAAATAAATGAATAAGTAAGTAATTGCCATGAATATGAGTTCCGATGTGCGAGTGTGTCTCGCCCAAAATTTATTTATTTTACTTTGACGTAGTTTACTTTGAGTGTGTTATTACGGAGTGCCTGTGTCACATTTTTTTTTTCTTATTATTTACAAACATTACATGCAATAGAAAAAAACATAAATTTGATAAGAACGGATTACAAAGTTATTTAATTTAGTTACTTAATAATTATCTGCGTTATTACTGAACAAAATGTCTGATCCAAAAACGATTTTCAGCTGAAAGCTAAACCTTATATTGAAACCCGAACTTGCGTAATAAGGACATAATTTAATTAAATTCAACCGTATACCCTGAAATCTTTACAATTAATTTTATTTCTAAGTTAAATAATTTGAGGGACTTACTGGAAATTATTAAAAACTTGTCCGAGTGGATTCCGGAATTAATATAAAAATAATAGGTAACTTTCTATGCTTCTTAAGTTTTCAAACACAAAGAAACTTATTAAAATTTTGACCAAAAGGCAAAATATTAATCTATTTTTATTGCCAAGAAATAAATTCTGTAGATAAGGATGTTTACCTGGAAAACGATATATTTTCTTACAAAGGTCCATCGTTATTTGAATCGCCAAAGAATGGAATTATTGGAAATCCCTTCTCAAAGAGCCGTGATAGCTCAGTGCCTGGGCGCTCATTTTTCATCCAATATACTCGAGCAGCCTGAGTTCAAGTCTAGGTGCCGACACCTTGATGAAATTATTAATTGCAATTTTAGGTGCTGACTTATCACGTGCTCACCGGTGTAGGAAATCATCGTGAGGAAACCAGCATATTGTTTAAATAGTAATAAAAAAATAAGTGAAGTCTGCCAATGCGCGATTGGGTGTGAACTATGCTAATATAATAATTTAAATATTTCTTATTTAATACCTTTATCTTTTTATACAAATGGTGATGATTGTTAAAGAAATTTGAAATCTGAAAAATAAATTTTTAAAGGAAATTGATGAATGAATGAATGGGTCAAGCACGATGTAAGAAGATGTAAGAAGAGTGCGGCATCTCTTTTACCATAGTGATGTAGTTTCCTGACCAGACTCTCATGCTGTACGCAATCAAGTTACAGAATATACCTACGGCATCCTGCGACTCTTCCCAGGCTTCAAAAATATTCATAACAAGCTGACTGTACTAAACCTGTAATAAACCTGTAATAAATTATGTGAACTAAATTGCTGCTACATTTGATTCAACATAATGTTTTCAAAAAAATTTAAGAGTACTGTGCACTGCTACCAGATTTAAACACCGGACTTTTTTTACTGTGTTCTAGATCAGGAAAATCGCCACGATTGATACAAATATTAAAAATAGTTGCTAGGTTAACTCACCTTGAGTTAATATCAATCATAGAACTGATAACCTTAAGTTTAGTAAGTTTAAACAATTTCTTTCTTGCTTGCAATAGTAAATTTAAACTTCTCTTTACATTCCATGTTTTTCTTTAGATTACTAAAGAAAAGCAGTATGGACACCAACAGTTTCAGAGTCATTAGACTCGGAAATTGTCGGTGAGGAAAGAATTGACTTGGTAGTTGAAACTGGAATGTCAGTGAAAAATTTCTCGGAAAATGTAGTCACCTGCTTATTTGAGTGAATAGTATTATGATCATCAGTTAAAATTGAATCTATTAATTATCTTTCAGGACATTTTGATGTCAGATGCGCTTCTTATCCTAATGCTAATATATAAGGATTTTTTTTTCGGGAAGTTATGAACAATTATGGAAATGTAATGGATACATAATCTATTCATATTCCTTGTGGCGCGTGGCCAAACGCTTGTTTAGCAAACACTTAAGAACTTCGAACATGATCCGAAAATTACGATCCCTTTACAGTTTGTTGAAAAATACATAACTAAGAAAAAAATATTATATTAAGTATTATGCTTTACGGATGTTTTTTAATTTACAACAAGCAAATACGGCAAAAAATAAAGACTCAAAGAAATCTCCATTAGGTAAGTATTTTCAAATTTTGTAACTCAAACGTGATTTTATCGTCTGTGTAGGATTTAAAGACTTTTACAGGATTGAAAGACGTACAAAGCTGAGAAGTAGCATTTAGTTCTAAATATTAACACTTATCGATTTACAGAGTATGATCCGTAATATTTATAAATATATAATAATCGTAAAAAGAGCTAACAGACTGCTCTCCTGGAATCGTCATTAAAAGTGGGGTTTTCTTGTCGCTGTATGATATTTGTTGCTTTGGAGCTCTCAATCGATGATATAATCTACAAATATGAATGTAGATATGACACAAGCGCACCGAAACTGAGGCACTCAAATTACACCAATTGGTGTAACATGATTGCAATTCTATCGACTGCTCTTTTTCCGTATCATAAGTGCTATAGCATCTGTCACATTCACTTATATGTGTCCTTACAATGTGAGGCGGAACAATTTTTAACAGCCGCTATGGATATGCGTCTTCCGTATTATTAAACATCATTGCTCTCAATTTTACTTCATTAGCCCTGTTCCGAATATAAAATACGAAATCAGTCTCCATATAAGTTATACATTAAAAGATTAGATAAGAGATAAGAGAGATTTGATATAAATAAATGACTCAAAAAATAAAAAAGTCCTTTAATTAAACCGTTATTAAATATAAAATTCGACGACCCTAAAATTGTATTTTCAAAAACTAGGACTTTGTCCTACGAATAAACCTTAAAGCTTAAACTGGGCTTATTGGCTTCAGTGGAAACTAAATTTTGCTGGTGAAAAGACACGTAAATAAATCATTTGTTGTTGTTCAAAGCAATTTAATCGTGAGAAGTCAGTTTGTGTAAGCATTTCGCTAAATCTCATTGAAATGAGATCAAATCCACTAAGCTCTTTACTCCATTTTTAAAGGCCAAAAATAGACCTAAATTAGAGTTAGCTTTGTACCTATATAAAATTTATGAAAAGAAAGAAGAAAGTAGGTACAAACTTACATATTAAAATATAATTATTTGGACGTGTTTGATTCATATGTATATCTGTATACGCCGTGGGCGTATGTGGCGAAATTTTTATTTTATATTGGATATTTTATATTAGAGCAATTTGAATCTGTAGTAAGAGTGAACCTGCTACTGTTTAACCTATTATAGTTGCAATAATCTGTTATATATGTCATAGTTTTTGATTAAATAAACAATATAAACCTAATGATTGTATGTATTGTAGCCTTTGTTGCAGTACTTCATAATTTGTTTTAATCTCCAACATCAAAAAAGTCGTCATAGTTTCACTGCAATCGAATTGATAGTACATAACGTCCTGAAAAAATTATATCATTTGTTTATGTTAGAAGGTAGCAAGCGAGTTGGCGGTTCACCTGATGATATGTGATAACCGCCGTCCATGGACATTTCCAGTTGTTACCACTTTTTAATAAAGTGGGCCCCGGCTACCTCACTCACCAGGAGAAAGGCATAAGTGTAACATTTCCACTTCACGCCGGTCTTCTGTGAGGTCGTGGTTCTTCCCAAGACGGAACTGCCCATTCGTGCAACAGTGAAGACTGTTGCGTGGCCCTTCCACAGCTGAATACACAGCGGTTCGGACAATCATTTCGTACTTTTTCTACATATTTTAATGTTTAATCTTAAGTGCAGAGATAAGCACTATAAAAATTTAAATTTCTAAAAAGCAATAGCGACATCTCTCGTTCGAATTATCGTTGCAAAGCGATATTCGAAATTGTTTGTATGCTGGAAATGATATAACAATGGATGCGCCAAGCATTGCTTCAAATGCTAAAAGACAATGTAGATAAACGACGTTAAGATTTTCGTCTTTGTGGCAATCAGTCATTTAGCTTAGTGCCTAAAGCGTCATGCCGCGAATGCCGAAGACGTGGGTTCGATTCCCACAGCGGCGACGATCATTTCGTACCTTTTCTACATATTTTAATAAATAGTAAAGTGAAAAGTAAGTGTGATATGTCAACGCTATTGTTTTAGGCTAAGTCATCATCATCATCTATACGGACAGGCGGAGTGCAATTCATTAAATATATGTTTTAATTACTTGGACTAGACGTGCCGTCAGCAGCTTTTCCATCACCGCCGAGCACGTTGTATATGCGCAATTAAAATTCCATTTACAAATTTCATTGGCGCCATCTTAGGGATTTTGAAGGGGGCGCCGGAACTCGGACCCGCATTGTATTGTTCTAATTCCATAATCACACGCGACGCCTGTAGACCTACAGAACGTTCGAGTGCGATGAAGCCGTTCGGTTGCACTGCGGCGCGCGCTACATGTCCGCAGCTGCACATTGTTGACGCATAACCAAAGCCGCGCGGAACCGAAAGTTCGCTGGCAAGTTCGACAGTGACATAGCTCCGTGTGCGAAACCTGCGCGATCATCGCCGGCGAGGGCGGCCGAGGGCGGCAAAGTTGGGTAGCACAATCGCCGCTCAGGCTCAGTCGCCCAGCAGCGTTCGCGAACGCAACACCTCCGCAACGCAACGTCTTTCCGAGCGCGAAACGGCGGATCGTAAACTTGACGACGCCAGTGTATGTTCGAACTAGCGAAATCCCATCGCGCACTTCGGCCCTCGGTATTCGTGCTTTCGCTAATTCCAAGCGCGCGGTATGACGTAAGTGTTGTTTTTCACTTATTTGGTAAACGGTGCGAAAAATAATCGCCGGCGAAGTTGCAACATTCCCGTGCAGTGCGCCAATAGAAAAGCTGACGTTCCTTTTGGAGTTAAGGGATAACATTAATAAACTTTCCATCCGACCAGTGATCCCAATAACAATTTTAGGAACACTTCCGAACGCTACTATATATAAAATAGTTCGTTATATCAGAAGTGGAAAAAGTACATAAACAAAATAAGCTCGCTTCGCTTTCGGCTGTGCTACGATCATATTGATAACAAAAAAAAAAAAAAACAACGAAGAACGAAGAACGCGGGTGACAATTTTCGCGCTGAGAGTTGGCGGTGGACGAAACGGATGGTCTGCGATGGGCACGCGATGCTCTGCCTCGAATCTCTGGTGACGAGGTGGCGGGAGCGCGGGGAGCGCAGCGAGCGCCGCGCCCGCTCGCGGAGCCTCTGCTCATCCGCCGGCGACGGTAGCCTGCTGCAGTTGTTGCACAGACGGGCCAGCAGCGCATTGTGAGTTGGTTGAGCGCTCGTTTATGACGGAATTGAAAAAAACTTCGGCCAAGTGCGAGTCGGACTCGCGCACGAAGGTTCCGCACTATTATCTATAAAAACGGCAATATTTTTTTCTGTTTTTTAGTATTTGTTGTTTTAGCGGTAACGTAAATGCCTGTGAAAATTTCAACTGTCTAACTGTCACGGTTGACGAGATACAGCCTAGCCTAGCGAGATAGATACCTTTCGGAGCGCTTTGCGTACAGAACCCTAAAAACATGAAGAGATTTTTGAATCAGTTTTCTCTTATCGAGCTTTTTATTTTTTGGTAGGAATGTGATTCCTCATCAGCTGTTCAATATAAATCGACAAAGTTTAATCCTTTATTTCGATTGATTCCTGATCTATGAGAAAATCGTCCGTATCTTTAATTGGCAACGGCAAAGTACGATAAGTCAATCTTAAAAAAAAAAACAGTTGAGTGGGTGTACTTTTAACTTCAGTTGTTTTTATTTTAATAGTATCTACTATTGTAGATGTCGAGGGTTTTATATATTAGTATTAAGTTATCATAAAGTATAAAAAACAAGGCGACCGTTGTACATCTACTGTAAAATCCATCAATCCAATATTTACGATGTCTTTTTTACCATTTGACCGAAAAGTAAATTAAAGTAACCGTAGCACGCGCACCCCAAATGAGCGATTTATTTAACAAACTTGTGTGTAATTTCCTTTACACGTTTATTCCATACGAGGGAAAGGGCGGATACAGCAGACTGATTAATTTGAGGCACACACAGCGTTAAGCAAACCTTTCTATGTAGCAAGTACTCCCAATCTGGAGTTCAGGAAAATACAACAGAAAGGCGCAAACCAATTCTCGTAGATATAATATCTGAGCACAGTTTATATTATTGCATAGAGAATTTTAATGATTGTGAATGGCGGCAATATTCTTAACACATTTATATAGTTACTTGTTGTTAAGCTTTAATTGCAATAAGCTCAAGCCTTCGGACGTAAGTCATCTTAATATGTTTATGTTTCTATAACCGTTATTTCATATTTATATCCGAAAATTATTGTTTACGTTTTGCTAAATAAATGTAAAGGTTGTAATAATTTAGTTGCTCAGCTTGGTGTTCAAGAATAATATAATTTTTTCTCCAAAATCGAACACTATCAAATTCAAGACTTAATTTCAACTAATATCGAACAAAAGTCCGAAATTGATTTAAAATAAAAAGTAACATAGTTAACGATTACTTCTACAAATTGCCCTATGATTTTTATATTACACCACATAATTATCCCCTTTTCTTACACCTACAGGCTTGAAGATGAAAATTCGTCAGGCACAAGTGAAATCTGTATAAGATCTATTTTTTATATTAGTTTACGACGTTTATTATTATATTTGCGATAGAAAAAGGAAAAGCGCGAGGATTTCCAAGAGCGTTCAAGACTCACTTACGGCACATAAGAACGTTCATCATGACATTAATTAACCTTTATGTGGAATAAGTTAATACAAGTTTATGGTGCACATAAGGTGTTTAATTAAAATGTAGGAGCTTTATTTCACGAGGCAATACGCGTGGCGTGACGTAACAACATCCTCGAAATTGTGTCAGAACGTGGCGGATTTATGGAGAGTTGTAAACTCACAGATGGCAACCGAGGAATTGCGTTTTTATTTAATCAACGGTCAATGGGCGAAAATCGGGCGTGGCAGTGAAGACGACCATCCGCCAAAGCAACAACCTGAAAATTAGTTGTTGCCACGTCGATAAAAACTTTCTTATCATAGTTTCGCCCGCTGTAGCGAAAGTAGTCTGACCCAAAATTGTTTACGGCTCTAAAATAGAAGAAAGAGTACGATCTTGATAAGAGATACTTTATGGCGTATATAAATTTCACCTGTGGCGCATTATCGTGATATCAATTAATTTTCGTTAGTAAGTGTACAATGAGCAGTTTTTTGGGTTCCATACCCAAAGGGTAAAACGGACCCTATTACTAAGACTCAGCTTTCTGTCTGTCTGTCCGTCTGTCACCACGCTGCATATCATGAACCGTTATAGTTAGGCAGTTGAAAATTTCATAGATGATGTATTTCTGTTGCCGCTAACAACAAATACTAGAATAAAAAATATTTAAGTGGGGCTCCCATACAACAGACATGATTTTTTTGCCGTTTTCATTGATAATTGTACTGAACCCTTCGTGCGCCAGTCCGACTCGTATATATCCGGTTTTTACAAGTAAATTCACATGGATATGCCTAATTATTACCGGTAAATACAGCTGTAGTCGAATGAATCATTTTGTTTTTCTGTGTTTATGTAATCAAGTTTTTTCTGTTTCTTTTAGCTTATTGTTTAGATGAATTTTTCAGATTTTGTATAAGAATAGCAACTTTATGTATCTGCTTGTATCTTGTGTTGTTGCTGATTACTGATGTTTTTGCTTTCAGTCCCGAGACTATTAAAGCTTCATCTGACGCAGAACCGGTGGGCTAGCCAGAATCCACGGGTTTGGGCTCATGTATGGGGTTGGAGCATTATTATTTAACATAAATAATATTGTCAAATGTTTTTAATTCTTTGTTGAACCAAATGAGATCACGTTTCTCGTATTCATCAAGAGTATATTTTAAAGTCAATTATTTATTCATTTTATCAATTGAAAATAAATAATTAATTTTAGGCTAGAATATTTTAGATTAAATATTAGTTATTGTTTTAACTTTATATTTTACGTTGGAAAGAATTCACGTGATCATTAATTACCTGAGTCGTAATGGCGTTACTTCCAGCAACGTTATGGTTTCAAGCTTGAATCTTTGAAATAAATGTACATTTATTGTGTCCAAAGACCCACAATCCCTCTCACGGTTGGTCAACTTCTAAAGGGCGTTTGTTGAGGCGTTCAACACTCCTATAGATATAAGTAAATTAAGTTCTTCTAATGCCTTCAAAGACCCTAGATTATATACGCAAACGCTGTAATCGTTTTGTAATTATTTTAGGCAATATGATTAGAGCGTGTTTGGTCGATCAAAATAAGTCCTTTATTTAATGCACATACCAAACGTGACAAGTACGCTGAACAGCTTAGAAGAATTCACTTTTGAAATGTTATTTTTCTAGACAAAAACATTCGTCGCAAATCTGCGTTTTCCGGGTACATGGACTTCTTTTCTTTAATCCTTTAACACAATAGTCAAAAATAAAAAAGAACTGTTCTTTCAGACACTAGTTTTATCGAAGTGGTAAAGCCGATAAGATGGTGAAAGGTTACAGTAAGAATTGGTAACTCTGTAAAATATTATTGATCTAGAATGCAAATATTTGTCCTAGCTTTTTGTCCATGAATTATTTGAGTATATAAAATATACTCGTATCTTCAGCAAACAATAGGCGATCATCAATATACTTGGCGAAAATATTTCTTTAAGGTGTATCTCAAACGACTGCTTATAAATAAGAAATACATACGTGTAATGTAAATACGGTTAATTACTTAGAAAAACAGAAGCTATTGTACTTTAGATTTAATTTTTATTTAAGACTAAAGGAGGGGAAGCTATATTGCTTTAATATTTTCATAGTTATAATACACTCTAATATCTTAAAGTCGTTATGGAATGTAAACTAGATCAAACATAATACATTTTTAATAAACAGAAAATGTAACGGCATTCGGACTTAATGAAAAAACATCATTAATACACCAACTTAAGTAGGTAAAGAAAACATGCAGGCATCTTTTTAGGCTACTTTTTCGTCATTTTTAAAGCTTAATTTTCTTGACAAAAAATAGTTATACGTCGGGTAGTGAATAAGGAGTATTAAGTAAAAAATCTCAACATGCACTTTAAAGTGAATGAACTTCTGGTCAGAATAATTCTTACGGACTACTACGATAGATAACGCGCGCTCCCCTATAACCGTTTCATTCCATAATAAGAATGTTTGGTTTATTGCTAGTAACTTTATTTTTATTTAATTTGTATAAATTGAAAAATCAGAGTAAATTTAGCGTTCATGATACGTCATCGATCATAGAAGCGGTTCGGCTATTGGCATTTTACGATGAAATAAGAAAAGATGCGTAACGACTTGATACAACTGGCCTACTTTCAGCAACGCCATAAACTGGGTCACTTCGCTGGGTAAATCGGCAATGAGATGCAACAAACAACGAATTCATTTGATAGAATGAAACAGTTATGAGGGAGCGATGTGTACATTGTTAATGGAGCACACCAGCAAAATGCGTGTCCGGGAAATTAACAAACCATGCGGTTTTCGGAATATATATGAAAATTAAGTGAGAGTTCTACGAATGATAAATATTACTGTGTCGCCAATAACTGCAATGTTATAAGCATTGTTATAAGAAGATAATATATTAAAAATAATTTATGTAGGTGTCAGATAAACTTTATGCTTAGTAAAAAATGTGGTATATTTTATATAGTTCAGTACCTAACTTATTAATCTTTATAATCATTTTCATTGTATTAAATTCCTTGTTAGTTATTTATTAAGTCATGTTTAACAACTAGGTCTTCAAAAAGTCTCAAGACTAGCTTGACGATAAAACTCT